AAATGAAGGAAAAATATGGTAGTTTTAAACAAAAAAAAAAGAATTCATGTATGTCCATCGTAAGGTCGCTTTTACTTCGGTCAATTATTAATATTATTGTTATTTTATTGGAAATGACATAAAAAAACAAAATATTAGCATTTAATGCATAATTAGTGTGCTTTGAAACGTAATTATTTAAGATTACCTAAAAGATATTTAGGGAGCACCAACATTAGAAAAGTACAAAATTACAATTATGTAAATAATGAAATTGATTTTTAGATTGTTTTCGAACAATTTAGTTTTTTTTTTAGTTTCGAAAAGCATTTCCCGGCGCAAAAAAAGACTGTTGTAAACAATTTTTAAAATACCAAAAACCTAATTATCTGTGTTTTATTTTGTTTATTTTTTTGCCATTTTAACTATGTTACTTTCTTTAAAAATAAATTGTTCGAAAACAATCCAAAAATCAATTTCATTATTTACATAATTGTAATTTTGTACTTTTCTAATGTTGGTGCTTCCTAAATATCTTTTAATGCTTTATTCGTGTTTACATACAATACGTATTTACACTCGTCACAAAAAAATATAATACATGATAATAATGAAGTAATGAGACTAACTAATTAGCATTTACATAAAATACCTTATAAGTATAATGAATATAAGAAAAAAACAAGATACTTTATTTGCATACAACAGTACAATATACCTAAAGGTAATAAAAAACCAAATAATACAAAAAAAACAAAAAAATTCATAACATATCATTATCCAGAAACAAATAATTTAAGATTGCCTAAAAGACATTTAGGTAGCACCAACATTAGAAAAGTACAAAATTACGTTTCGAAATACACTAATTAAGCATTAAATGCAAATTATCACTGATATTTTGTTTTTTATGACATTTTCAATAAAATAACAATAATAGTAATAATTGAATGAAGTAAAAAATACCTTACTATGGACATCATGAATTCTTTTTTTTTTGTTTAAAAGTACCATATTTTCCCTTTATTTCCTCAAAAAATTAGAATTGTTCATTAATTATTACTGATTTTATAAAATTATTGCGTTTTAAAGCAAAAATCCCCTATATGAAAAACTGTAAGTAATAATCCAGCGAAGTAAAAAAGACCTTAGGATACAAATACATAATTTCTTTTTTTTTGTTTTAAAGTAACTTATATTCTTCACATTTTCTCAAAAAATTATACTTTTTCATAGATAAATAGTAATTTTAAAAAATTAATACATTAAAGGCAAAAATCCTCTATCTGGAAAACTCCTCGTTGTTACAGGACATTCAAATTTGGCATACATATTTTTTATATTTTTTAAAAACAAATAAGGGGGCGGCACGATTAAAATTTCGACATCGGTCAAGTAAGAACCACCCTAATGGTGATATAATCAGTCAGATAATTTATTTTCCAAAAATTACTTTATAGCAACTTTTTCTTTTATTTTTAAAAATATTTTACACAACTATGACAGAGGTGAGATGCTAGCGTTTCCTAGCTTAAAGTTCTGTTAGCTGGCGACTTAATGACTTACTTAACCTACGCTCTAACGTTAATGTTAATTTTGCATTCATGGTTTTTAATAAAAATTCTTCCTGATTGACAGTATTAGATAAAGGTTTTACTCAGTTGAAGATGGCATTATTAAGTTGAGTGATTTATGGTTTTGAATGCGGATTTGAATATTCGCTGAACAATTTTGTGCTATGAAAGAAAAACCCAGTATAGCGATGTTGTAATAAAGATCTGTTGTGGAAATTGGCTTATTTAAAAAGCGTGTAAGACAGCATGGTAGAATGCTGTATATAGAAAAATAGCATTGCCAGTCGATATCGTGAAACAAGGTTTCGTTATAAAAATTAATTTCATTGAGATCACGTACTGACGACTGGTGTTTAACTGTTTAATTTAAATCCTCTCCTCTATTATCCTTAATGGTTATCTTATCTGGTTGGCGAGCAAGGAACTGAACACAAAAGGCAGGGACGGGTTTGGCGGGGGTCTAGGAGGAAGACCGCCTATGATGGATGTGTGTGGAAAGACTTGCATATAATTTGTTTAACACTCGCTTACGCAATTACGCCTCTGCGTTCATAAATGGATCATTGGTGAACGTCAAAATTTCGTATACCTATAGGTCAACATTTATATTTTCGATTTTCGAAGCCGGTACTGCTGAACGGTTTCTAGCGAGGTAGTGCCGTACCAATCTAAAATGGATGGGTTTTTTGCCGATCCTCTATAAACGTTGGCGAGTCGTTTACTAGCCGGTAATTGTTATTCGCGGCAAAAAACTTGAATGTGCGCGTCCCAGAGACGGTACAGTCCATAGAAAAATGATGAGAGTGCAAGAAAGACGGAGACGGATGCGAAAAACCAGCTATGCGATTTCATGCGCAAACGTCTTAATTTGTTCGCGAGGTCTTTTCTCCGAAATCACGGCAATGCGGCGAAGACTAATGAGCTTAATAGACCAGCGAATTCCCGACGACCCCGAAAAAAGTGTTTCGAAGCTAATTCGATAATTTTCGAGCTATTGAGCAATTACACCGCTCGAGTTCTTTAATTGCGTTCGCAGGTTCATCAGTACCAACTAAAGAAATGCAAGGTGTATGGAAGAGTAAAAACTTTTCAACTTTGTTGATTGCTCGTGTTGTTGCTTCGGATCGGGTGTTCCTCGTCTTGAAATCGCTCATTTCAGCAGATATCTCGTTTATCGGCGACGGGGTGTGTCTGCACAGTAGTCGGCCTGAGGCGAATCGCATGCTAAACAATCTTATGTAAAATAGACGCGTCGAAGCACTCCCGAGAGCTCTGTACACCAGTACACTATACTATACTATGATCCCCGTACTAGGGATGGGAAAACTATTAGTAATTACTGAGTTATCAGTAGGGCAAATATCAATAAGTACCTAGGTACCTAGGTACCTATCAGTAAGGTGGTTTTGTTACAGATAGTAAAATTTCTACTTAAAGAAATTTTCAAGAGAATTGTAAAAACCTTACTTAGTCAGAAAACAAAAAATGCATATATTGCAAGCTATCTCGCGAGAGCGGCAATGTCACTTTGCGCTCGAATTACACACAGGATTTTTTCTACAACCGGTGTTTCTATAAAAATGTTTGGTAAAAAATAATAACTATTGATAACCTAAAATTTGACGTTTGTGTCAAAATACACTAAACGTTTCTTTATTATTCGTGCAATTGCAGTAGCGTGCGGAAAAATGTAACTTTGCGCACTTGTTAGGTAAATAACTATTTCATCTGAGTTTTTGTTGATTTATCGACGTTCTGTTGTTTTTATATAAACCAAACTGTTCCAAAGAATTTTTTTAATCCGGCCATAAATAAAGGAGATAAAAAGGTTTATGTAAAAACAAGCTCAATAATTTGAAAACTAAATTTCAATCAAGTATTTTTTAGTTTTATAGATTTTTATATTCCAATGCGTTTAAGAACTTTAATTTTTTTTAACATTGTTTATATTAATTATAAAAACCTTAAAATGTCAACAAAAAAAATCGAGATAGAATTTAATAAAAAATTACTGAAAACAAAAATATAAATAAAAAAAATGTAAAAACATTGTAAAAATAATCCATATTCAAACAGATCTAAAATAAAACAACAAAATAATAATTGTTTTACAATTTGTATTTTTGAGATAACTCTACAACAAATAGACAAACTACGTGTTACTTAAAAAACTGCAATGTAATCTAATAAAATTATGTCGTAATATAAACTAAAGCAAATATAATAAAAAATGCTAAATTAATTAAATAAATAATTTTTGAAACGCATTTTTTCACGTAGGTAGTAAATAAAAAATCGTATACTTTTTCTGCCCCTATTTTTTTTTAAACCACACGATTATTAGCTACGGATGATTTACCAATTTTTTACCAGCTAACTCATGATATACATTTGCTAAAACATAATAAGAAACAAGGCGAAATTAATAATTCATTTTTCAAACATTATGCATTCCAAACATGATTCCATATAAAATTTGTAAATACGTTTATAAGCTTTTTCATCGTGGGGCGCTTTTTGTTTAATTGCTATATATTCTTAATTAGAAAAGTAATTAGGAATTCCGATTCTTATCTTTCAGATCGATGTTTTTATCCTGAATAAGGTTATTAATAATTTAACCTGGGATCTAAAAATATAGTATACTAGCTTTTTATTACTTATGTCTCAGAATGGTAAAAAAGTTGTTATGATAGATATTATATTATATATAATATAATTTATTACTAATTCATTTAAATATATATTTATATAGAGCGACATCTACACAATAATAGAGCAACCAATACTGGTGTTAGAAATCTGTTTTACCGGCTAAAAATGTGAGGTAAAAAATCGCCTATTACTCTAAATGGTATGCATTTTTTTAATGCAGAGTATGCAGAAAACAAAACAAAAAAAGCGCGCTCCAGTACACATACCATTAAGTTTAATTAAGCATGGCCGAGAAAGACAATTAATTGTCGCATCAATCGTGAACGGAGCTGAGCATCTCTCGGAGTCGAATAAAATTTATCAAGGCACACGGCTATGAATAACTGGCAACATTTTTATTGGCATTTATAATAGATTGGAACGCATTGGAGTCGTTTATAATAAAATATAACGCCGTATAGAAGGGAATTTACGTTTACAAGGTTGGCTATCTTAATATGATATACAACTTTATGCGGTATGATTCATTTATTGTGGAAACGTTGGCTGTACTACCCATATTTGTTTACAAAAAGTTACGGAAACAAGTAGAAAACAAGAAGATTGAATTTTGCAAAGCAAATATTTACCCAAAATTTGACGTAAATGGTAATCAGACAAAATTTAATCTACCGTTTAAAATTCCAAAAATAGATTAGTCCAAACAAACTTTATTGTAACCAAATTAAAGTATTAAGAGCTCTTCTAGGATTAACATACTTTATTAAGTTAATACCCAGGGGTTATATTAACCAGCAAAAGTCATTTGCGTTGCTTCAAAAGTCATTTAACAGTCTTCAGTGCAGTCATGCAGTTCGGTATTTTCTACAATAAAGGGAATTTATTCCAATATCTAGCCACACTTGCAGGTAAATACAACATTTTATCTTCGTTTGACATCCTAACGCTCCATATTGCAGGCGCATTTTCAATCATCAGTTCGGGGATAAACTTGGGATGGACCTCACCGTATCTCCCCAAACTTCAATCGAATGCATCCCACATCCCCACAACAAGCGATGAAGGATCGTGGTGTGCCGTGGCGCCTCTGCTAGGGGCGCCTCCTGGTGCCATTCTAGCTGCAATATTAGCCGACAAAATTGGCCGAAAGATCACCACCCTACTTTGTTCACCGGTGGTGTTTCTGTGCTGTATTGGTATTGCTTTCGCTGACAGCATCTGGGTTATTACTACGTATAGGTTCATTATAGGAGCCTGTGAGGGGGCTCTATATACAGCACTGCCGATGTATGTAGGAGAAATATCGGACCCTAGTATCAGGGGGTTGTTAACATCCACCATTGCAATGGCTGGAATAATTGGAACTCTATTCATCAACATTATAGGTTCTTGCACCGACATCTTCACATCAAGTCTTATATCCGCACTAATACCTTTAATGCACTTCTCGGCATTCGTAATGATGCCCGAATCGCCCTACTATTACATCAAGAAACACAACTATAAGGAAGCGAAAAGGTCCCTGGAGATTCTACGTGGTACCAGTAACGTCTCCGGTGAAATGGATTCGCTATGTAAAGCTGTTACAAGGCAGGAGCAAACCAAGAAAGCTGGGATTTTGGATCTGTTCACGGAATCAAGCAACAGAAAAGCCGTATGTATCTTTGTCATAATTTGTTGCACGAATAAGTTCAGTGGCAAAAACCCTTGCATGTTCTACACCGAAAGCATTTTCGATAAAGCTGGAAGCAGTATTGACCCCTCCGTCTCCGTCATAATCTACTCCTCCGTAGAACTTATAGCTGTCGCCTTGTCCACAATTTTCATCGTAGATCGTTTTGGTAAACGCAAACTACTCATAACCTCAGCATGTGGTTGCGGTGTATCGGTGTTCTTTCTTGCTCTGCATTTCTATTTGAACGAAATTTTCCCGCGCTTCGCGGAAACCTTCTATTGGCTCCCCATTACCGCACTAGTGTGTTACAACATCCTATTCAGCATCGGTCTTGCATTTGGACCTGTCACCGTGCTAAGCGAGTTATTCCCGACCACGGTAAAAGCGAAAGCTCTCTGTTTAGCCGACACCTTTTCCGTACTCATGGGCACAGTTTGCTCCAAATTTTTCCAAATCAGTATCGATGAGTTCGGCTCGATGTACGTACCGTTCTTCTGTTTTTCCGTATGTTGTTTCATAGGGTTGATATTTATAATCAAGTTCGTGCCTGAGACCAAGGGGAAGACTTTGGAGGAAATACAGCAATACTTAATTGGGGATAACAACGCGAGAAGTAACTTCAATCAAATTGAAATGCACTGATTTTGAAGATGAAGAAAACTTCGACATAACAGGACTGACTACAAGAACTGATTTTATTATTTATTGTATCAATATTATTGTTGTTTAGTTTTAGGATTATACTGTACTGAAAAAACTTTAAATCTATTGTCATTAATTAAATAATTTAATTAAAGCTACGGTAGGTACTTAATGCATAATTATTGTTGCCGTAATTACCTGGGTTGTAATTGTGTAATTTATGGCAGTCATTTCTGATCAATTAAATTATTTCACTATAAAACTGCAAGATACATTGTTAACTTAAATACATTGTAACTAAAGAGATTGTACAACTAACTATTTTTGGTCCAAAATTGTCTGTAAGTATTATTATTTTTCTTTTTTCTGGAGTCGAAATAACTTCCTGACTTCTTGGTGGCCAATTTTGGTCTCCACCGTGTTTAAATTGAACATTCAAAATTTATGTCTTGCGGTCTGCTGTGAACATTTCACACTGGAAAATTAATTCATGTGTAAGATAAAAACACGTCATAACTGAAAGCTGTGTTGTGACGTGAACTTTGGTACAGTTGTGGGACTCTGCAGGTATCGGAATGCGGTGAATTGACGCGTTGATACATTAGGTTCCTGTCAAAACGGGAGAAGAAATAAAAAATGCCTAGGGGCCAATAATCAAGCGTTGGGACGTTACAGAAAGTATAAAGAATTTAAAATGACACAGTTGCATCTAAAATTTTCAAAGATTGATGTACATATTACACCAAGTACGACAAATTTTAACTATATGTTTTATTATCAAATTATTATTAAATATTAAACCTAAACTGAAAGTGAAAAATAGAATGTACAGCATTAAAATAAATAAATGTTATAATAAATAAACTATTGTTAAACGCCTAACAATGAGCTGTCTTAAATTTAATAATGTGGGCGTGTACACACGTATTTATACCAAGAAAAATGATCGTACTGTTAATAATAAATTACTTTTACAAACATTTTTGCTGAAGAATTTGTTTTAATGTTGGTATTGGCAGAGTGAATTTTAGTCATGAATAATTTTTTAAAGAAATTACTATAATCTTCTTACTGTAACAGTGATTTAAATATAGCCTTGTTTATTAATTTTTTTCATAACATTCGAAATTGATAAAATCGAAAATCATATAAATTGATTTACAGGATATAAGTAATTACTTAATATTATGTGTTCGACCATCATCTAATAATTTAAATATCAGTTTAATCTACTGGTCGCACCTGCACAGTTACATTTTAAACCCTTGGGGGAAAATTTGGAGTCATTACTGCAAATTGGTGGTATTTTTGGTGAAACCAATTATATAAGGATTAGGCTCAATTTAAAAAAAAGTCTACCACATAATTGTACCATATAATGTAGGAAAATGTTTTTAAAATTAAAAGTAACTTTAAAATCTTAAAACAAAAGATAACGGACTTTTTTGAAGATTCCATATTTTTAAACACAATTTGGTTAGCCAGGGTAATTTTGTTATACCTCCAAATACATTGTATTTTCTACCCTGGCAAGCTGATAAACTCGATCTGTTATAAAACAAAATTCGAAATAATTGATGCATCGGGCGATACAAAAAAATGATGGATCATCGACACATTTTAGACGATAAAACCGACCACCATCAATTATTTAACGACGACAGTGCTACAAGGACAGAATTACCGCGATGATCGGGTTTCTGTGTGTGTTTTTTTTAATCGAGATTTTTTCACCGACGTGGTTGCTTCTTAGTCACCAAAAATAAGGTTTAATTTTATCAATTTAAGTGAAGTTTGTTACTTACTACGTTTGTGCAGTTTGAAGGAGTGCTTACCTGTAACAAAAATAACAAGTTAGCATGGATGGAATAAATACTTAGAGTCTTATATAAGCAAACAGGTACTTCGACAGCGGTGGGATGTAATTTGACGATTGCATGACATGACACTGCTGCTAACTTCAGCCCTTGTCCAAAACGCCATGAAGTTACAGCTTGTGAATGTGTATTTAAAAGATCGCTTAGTGTTATGAAAACATGTATACAGAGCGTTTTAAAGGTGGGAGAAGAAAAGCAAATATTAAGTGTCATGTTTATTGGAAGAGAAGTTGTAATGCGTTGTTCCCTTAGAAGGGCAAAATTAGGAAAAAGCAATAAGATGGGAATAACGAATGCCGCGATTGTTGGGTGGCGTGTTCCAAATGAGCGAATAAGTTGGCTTTGGAAACGTCGTCGATCACCCCGAGCTCAGTTGATCATCATCGTCTTAACCGTCAGGCAAGAAGAGAGAAGCACAAGCGGGCGCTGGCATCGATAACGCAGGAATCCACGATTGTCAAGATAAGCTGAAACAGTAGCCGGCAAGATTGTGCATGTTTATGATTTTGCGCGCACAGAGAGTTCAGCTTGCTGCTGCTGCTGGTGGAAACGGCCGTGGCACTTTGAATTTCAAATGGACGTGTTTTTACGCCAACTTCGTGCCAGATCGATCCGAGATATTTAGCATAAAGATATGTATTATCCGTGTTCCGTTCCCCTTTTACCTACACGTTCTTCACTCTCGCTCTCAAATGAAGATCTATTCGAATAGTTGTGCAGCGCTGCTATGCCACTTCCCCGTTCTCACATACATATAATGCCGACAATGCCTCATGCCTTCCTCCTAGTCCACCCGGTTCGCCATATTTATTACACACACGCCATTCATAACAGTTCTTTACAAAATCAAAATTCCTCTTTCAGATAATTTCAAAAAAATTTCCCAACTACACTGTAATAAAATTTTTTGTAATAGGCAATTTTGTAAGCATTTTGTTAATTTCAAAGGTTACAGATTATTTTTTCAATTTTTAACAAATTATTTCTATGCATGTCATGTCCAGCGTATCGAGGATCGAATTTACCCCGAAAGAGGCATAGACAATAATTTCTTATTAAATAGACTCTCTCTGGAATCCAGTTTTATCCAATTTATTTTATCCAATTTCCAGTTTTATCCAATTTTATTTCTGCGATCCTGCAAAGAATCCAGAGTCTGGATTCTTTGCAGGATCGCAGAAATAAAATTGCGTTAAATTTTATTTATAATCTATGTAACAATAAAATAGACTGTCCATTTTTATGAAGTTCTTTAAAATTCTTAGTGCCAAGATTTAACTCAAGAAACTCTGTTACTTTTTATCTTCTTGCACCAAGAACTAATGTAATGCAATGCTTATTTAGAATATGTACTTTGTTTAATAGCATAAGTGACATTCACAATAGTCCCCTATCATACATTATTGAATGTTTTTTTGGCGGATTTTAATTTATCTACGTTGTTCATTGTTTATTTTACTGTACTGTTAATAACATTTCCTGTAATTGGGTGTACAAGGTGTGTTCAGAAAATATCGGGAATTTTCGTTTTTTGAAACAAATATTTATTTATTCGTCTACATTAATGTTGTCGCCTTCAAAATAGTCCCCATTGGACATTATGCACATGTGCCAGCTCTTCTTCCAATACTCGAAACATTTCTAAAACTCGATCTTTGGCATAGCCTTTTGTTCTTTCAGCGATGCGCTTTTAATGTCATTTATGCTTGCAAAATGACGGCCCTTTAAGGTTCTCTTTATTTTTGGGAATAGGAAAAAGTCAGAAAGAGGCATGTCTGGCGAATATGGAGGCTGGGTCATCATTACAGTATTGTTTTTGGCCAAAAATTTTGTTCAAAATTTAACAATTTTAGAACAAATTTTTCTGCCACGCGTTTCATACCCAAAAAATTTCATGGGATGAGCCAATCGATATACCAACATCATCAGCGACTTCTCTGATGGTTTACAACCATTTTCTTTCTCATGTTTTTATCGGTTGTTAATGTGATTGTGCGTTCGGGGCGTTCGTCATCTTCAATGTCTTCACGACCATTTTGGAAAATCTTATACCACTTGTAAACTCTTGTTTTACTTATAGCAGACTCACTATATGCCTTTGTTAACATTTCACAGAATTTATTTAATTTTTTAAGCAAAATTGGATACAAATTCTTTGATCCATTTCTTTTAACAATCGAAAAATGGCCGAGCTCATAAAACACGTCTAACCTTAGCGGCTGCCACAGACAAAGTAAACAATGAAAACAGCTAAAGTTTTTATCATACTTCGGGGGCATGTATACCAACATAATAAAGAAAATTTTATGACAACCGGACCCTCCGAACCCGTGAAATTTAACAATTCCCGTTATTTTCTGAACACACCTCGTATTCCTGTTGGAAATAAATAAATTATTATTAATATTATCGTTTTGGAAAATTACAAGAATTATGGTTGAATTATTGATATAGGATTACAGATTACAGTTTGTTGTAAATGTAGACATGGATGCACATAAAATCTGGTTAATATTTGCTAAAATTAACAAATATTTTTTTACTGTGTAAGAATTTTGACGGATTCTTTTCTGATAGTCGTGAATTTGTAAACTACTCTCACAATTCAAACGTAATTCAACATGTAATGCATATGGTGTGAAATTGCAATCCTATTAAATGTTTTATTGTCAATATTTCGCTACGCCTTTTTAGACATGACAAATTTAATTTACGAACAGTTATTTGTAGGAGGTTCTCTGTACCCTTTTTATTCTAAAAATTACTTGCAGTAATATTAATGTCATTATATAGTTTTTATTATTTTTAAATCGGAATTCTGAGGAAAAAGGAATCGAACACTGTTCAATGAACAGTTAGGTAGTTTTGTTTTTATGCGAATAACTTGGCGTTTGGAACCTTTTATTGATAATTAGCAAAAACAATTTTAGATAATAACTGCAAATGCTTTAATTTCCCTGCACACAAGTAAGTGCCAATAAACATTTCATTATCTAATTAGTTATAAATAATTTTCAGATTTACAGCATAAAAATGTCGATCATTAATGAACCAATCACTGTCCGTCGTTAAGAATAATTATTACCGAAATCTCGAAACCTGGAAACTTAAAATTTAATAGTTCACATTGAAAAAGTCGTTAATTTAACTATTTTACCATCGCGATTAGATAATTATAAACGGTACTATTCATTTTGCTGCAAGCGCAGCTTTAACGCCTGTCTACAAAAATGCTAGGAAATAAAAGCTTTATTATTTTACAACTGGCATAACTTCGATTCTATGAGCGCTTATCCATAAAATTCCTCTTCCGACCAATTTAAAACACATTATGTTAATGCTTGACATTTATTGGCTCTATGCTTAATTTTAATGTGTGTTTTGAGAAATTATTCAAGGAATCGATTTGACTTACTTCGTACGTAAAGGTTTTTCCAATGCAGATGGCGCCTATCGCTCACCGCTGTCGCTGTATGCACAACATGGCTACCCGGCACTGACGAGGTCCAAAAGACAGAAAAAGAATGTCTGACGGTACCGTGACAAGGTAAAAGGACAGTATTTCATTAATCTGTTTGAAAAGTGATTTTACTTATTATTTGCATGTTATTACTGGGAAGTGGAACCTAATGAGCATTGCTAAGCAGGAAAAATAAACCATGGCGAAGCAGGAACAATGGTGGGTCATAAAAGGTCCTCCCTACAATTGCCCCATTATAAATTTTATTTTCCTTTTTTCGTCGACTAATTATCAAGTTCCGGAAGCAGTTATTATTGTCCCGATTTGCAATACGAGACATCCTGGCCATTGCTTCTCTCTCTACTTCGTCCACACGGCAGTAATTCCACGCAAAGTGGTTATTAACTGTACAAATTTTTTAAAGCCCTGATTAGCCGATACTATCTTTTGATTAAGTTTACGTCGAACAAAAAGAACACGAGCAACATTATTAATTGATGTGTATAAATACAATAAAACGAGCTATCGAGAATTTTAAGTTCCAGCGTCAAATATTGATTTATGCTCCGTCTAAAACAATAATCTACTTTCTATAGAAAATGATCTCTATGGAAAGCAACAAACCAATCAAACCACGTCTTACTCCATCGCTGTGAAGAATGTTTTTATAGGG